AGAGAGAGAGAGAGAGAGAGGGAGCCTCGAAGGCGAGGAGTCTGAAACCGTTTCTTGTCTGTTGTTGGTAAGTGTTCAACATGTTCGAGAACGCCGTGTTGATTTGCGCTTAAGGTGCCATCGAGTTTCCAAACCTCTGCGGCCTGCGTGGCAGCGCTGCTGAGGTCCGTCACGGCTTTCGAGGAATCGTGTTGGTCCTTTAGGGTTTAGGGTTTAGGGTACTGTAAGACACTTCAGATGGCGAAAGTTTGCAAGGCCAGCACGGGAGCTGTTGGACCTGCTACAGAAGGTGGGTGCTGCACCTAGACAGCATGTTTGAACGGTTCGCTTTTCGAAGACACTGAAATCCACGTCAGTGTTGTATTGGCTCTAAGATTTGAGAGGCGTGTGTCGTGGGAATTCGCGGGTATGCCACGAGAACCTCCACTCGCCTTACTTCCAAACCGAGGAACCCTTCTTTGTTTTCGATGGGGCGCCACTCCCAGCCAAGAGTGCGACGGAGGTTGCACGCAGACAGGTGCCGGCTTCGGGCTTCTTCACATTAAGCCTCACATCCGTAAGATCTTTGCAGTAGAAGAAAAGGGTTGGCAGTGACTGCTGCGCCTTGGCATGTTGAATCGGCAGAGCACATGTTTGGCAGGCACGCGAGGAAGCAGCGCGCATGGCGGCAGTGGCCGGTTCCACTGCCTGGGACCTACATGATTGTGTGTGTGTGTTATAGTGTGTTATAGTGTGTTATATGGAGTTTGCACCTGAAGGCTTGAATGGAGTAATATAGTAGCCTAAAGAATGGTAACCAACATTATTCCTTCGCCTTATTTGAAGTATACTATCAGGAGCCCAAAACCTTGCTGTAACTGTAAGTCTCGGATCCGAGTGTCTGCTTGCTGGGGTCATCTTCTCTTCACACTGGCGTGTAGGCTTTGGAAAGCTCCTCAACCCCACGAAGGGGTCTTGATTCTCGGATCAACGTAAGTCCTCGACAAACTAGGAGGTTGCGGTATGTTGGTTTGTAGTGGATTTTCCGTAACTGCTTTGGCGTTGAACCGTCTCAACCTCTTGCGCCCAATTCGTCAAGGCCAAGCGTCTCTGCGGCGCTGTGGACATCACGCCGGACATGATTTGGGCAGCATTGCTTTGCTTCAATGAAGTTCATGGACCAGTTTAGTGTAAACGCAGCCTGGTCCCCTGCTGGTAGCAGTCACCGCGACTGCAACCTAAGAACGATTCCCCATTCCAAAAATTTTGACCGGAGCTGGGGGAAGCACGGGCTTCATGTGCAAGGTTTCAGTTGAGACGTGAGCAGGGTTTCAGTTGAGACGTGAGCCCGAACACCAGTGCAGAGCCAAGATGGGCCCGAAAAATCTCAAGCCCACCAGCATGAATCCAGAATTGAGAACAAGGTTAAGCAGATCATTTTTCCTGAGCATGGTAGACACATCGCTACTCTCTGCGCTTCGAAGCGTGTTGCTTGGACAAGAGACAGTGTTCTGTGTTGCACGTGGGTGCTCCACCAAGTAATGGAAACCAGTGATATGCCAGGACAACAACAACGATAGCTTCAATAGCAACGGCAGCATGTGCCAACACTACTCGCTCTCAACCAAAACAGCGGGAGACACGCCCAACGAAGAAAATCATCACAGCCACAAGCATGAACACTGCGACAGTAGAGCAAGACGGATAGGACGGATAGGAACAAGAAAAACGCTTTAACCAACAACGACCGAGAAAAAAAGACAGAAAGCAATCATCAACAACCTAACATATGAGCAGGTGTGCAACGAATGACAACAGTCGCGACCGGCACAAGCACAATCACAACTAAACCAAGGAATACCCCAGCATCAGAGGCAGCTGACAGCAGACTGATAAAGATTTCGCACAGTGCCTTGCCGCCAGGAAATGGCATCTGCCTGCATCGAGCAGTTCGGTCCGCTTGGGGTGAGGTGCATCGTGGCTCCTTGTGGCTGGACGCAGCAAGCTGAAACGGTCGTGTCTAACTTTCAGAAGCTCTTGGAAATATTTGACAGCGAGGCGAAGCTGATGCACAATTGGCCTTCCTTGCACATTCGGGACGTGTGGATGTGGTTGCGCCCTGGCAAAGATTCATCGCCTTGTCGAGCTTGGGCTCTGGAGATCAAGCAAACAAAAGAAAGTTTAATGTGCGTTCAAGTGGACCGGTCTTTCGTGGTTTGCTGCACTCATGGGCAACGAGAGCACAGGTGAGTGAAGACGTGGACCTCCTAGCTTTCGGCTGCCCGCGAGTCCTCTTCGGTCTGGACGGCATCTGGAGTCGAGAGTTGATGCCCCCACCGATCACTCACAGCTGGACTTTCGGAGGACGTTCGCAGAGGTTGCGGTCAAGAAGTTCGATTGGCCGACATAGGACGCTGTGTTTCGGGTTGTGTTGTGGATCAGATGTCGTCAATCTCCAGTTCGATGTCGGAAGATTTCGAGGCCAAAGTCGAACTCTGATCCCCTACCGTTTGACACCGGAGCCTTGGAAGGCAAAGGCTATGCTCGCCAGACTGCGCGAGTGAAACACCACAGGTCGTCAGCAAAGTTCTGGGCTCAGGAAACCCTTCCAGACCTTTGCGTGCTTAGCGGCTGTGCTGCTTGGGCTTGATTTAACATCGAGACTGCTCAACCGAGTTTGTTTCAGAAATCCAGCTGGATGATTAGGACTACTTGCCGTCGTTGCCTCGCTTGGGCCTGCGCCGTGCCGCGCAACTTCTTCACCGTGCTCGAGGCTGTGATGGTTCTTCGCGTTTTTCTTCCTCTAGATTTGGCCGTTGCTTTGGATCCTGCGAGTTTGTTTGGCTTCGGCTGGCTCTGTGCAGATCTCACCGGGCACAGGCAACGTGGAGCGCGCTCTGCAGCTGGCACAGCGTGATGGAATCAGCGTTGCTGAGATTGCTTTAGTTTGGTTTCCGTGGCAGCCAGAATGGATGCAGAACTCAGGTACCCGTGGCATACCTGCAGGAATTCGTTGAAGCCCGGCTGGTCTACACCTGCCAGCTGGTTGCTTGCTACGCATGCTACGCTGCAACGCCATGCAGTTGCAGTTGTGGGTTGGATGAGCCTATTTCTTGTCTGAAGCATCTGACAGTGAGACTTCCACCGCCAAGGTTTTCGACGACCGAGCCCAGCAACTGCGCATGCTGTCGCCACTTCCAGCATCTGCCCGTAATATCAGGCAGCACACTGCTTGCTCACTCTGTTTACCGGTTTGCGGGGCAATCTCTTGGTTTTGCAGCACTCTTAAGTCTGGCTTTCCAGATTTGACGGTCGTTGTGGGGGTCCACGCAGGGTTCGCGGTCTGTTCATGTTTGCAGCACTCCTAATCTTGCCTTTCTAGAGGTTATTGGCATCGCGGGGGAGTTGCCGCCTCCAGCCTAGGCGAATGGCCCAAGACGTTTGATTTTTCCCCTTGATGGTTGGTGGCTTCTTCGCTTTCACGAGCATACAAAGAGGCTAAGCAAGAACAGCAGAACCCCGGACCTCGCGGCACCCAACAGCTCCTAGAACGGTCCTCGCTGGCACTTGCTTAATTTAGTTTGGCTCTTAATTAAGCGATGCTTAAATAAGCCACATGGCTTAAATTAAGAAAGACTCACCTTGCTTGACTTTAGTGATGATCCGAACCGTGCATTGCTGTTCAAGCTTCTGATGTGGTCCGGCCCTCCCTCATCTTTTGTCTCTGCTGAACTTTGTGGCCTCTCCTGTCCGGCTCATTGTCAGGCTTCCTTCACCTTCAACCCTCTTTTCAGCGGGTCTAGGTTTCGGGTGTGTTGCCAGTTTTGGTTTCTTTTGGGTTTTTGTGCTGGCTCCGGCCTCTATTGCACGTTCTGGTGATGGCTCTTAACTTCGTGCCCGAACGCAGCACAGCAGCGCGTCCTGACCTACCTCGAAGCACTCGTGAGAATTTACGGTAGTGGGCAGGAAGGTGTTGTGCCTTCCACCACCGGCCGTCGAACGAATGTCTTGCATGCCAGGCTTTGTGAAATTTCGGAGCTCCTCACCCGACTTGGGTCGGTTGGCGACTCTTACCGTCATGTGCCTTTTGGTGAGGACGTGCCACCGGACACAGCCGATGAGGCCCTTCAGCCTTACCGGGCTCTCGATGCCGATCGTCTTCGACTCGTGGGGCGTGCTTAGTGGGACCCGGAGCCCTGGCTCAGCGATGATCTCTGGATGGCTTCTGCCGAGCCGCAAAGCCTCCTCGTTGCGACCCGCTGAGGACGAGTACCCTGACTGTTCCCTGGAGGACCCCGAGCAGACTCTTAAGCTTGCTCTTTTGTGGGATAGCCTTGGGCTGCTCGTCTTTGGAGGGCTGCGAGTACACACGGATCTTTAATGCTCGCAAAAGTGCGGTCATAGATCGCCAAATAGGCGACAGACGAGGGAGAAACGCGATGGAGGGAAGAATCTCTGGTCCCTCGGCATCATTGCCGAGTGGAGAGAGCTTCACCAGCATAAGCATCAATCCTCGTACCACCTCCCTGGCTATGGGAGTTACCGACAGACGGGATTTCTATCACCAATTGTCGGTGGGTCGCCGTTGTACCCACCTCTTTCGGCCGAGAGCTTGGCTGGGGCAAAGGCCCTTGAGGTTTACAAGGAGTTGCACCCGAACTCTGGGATGCCATTCTCTTTCCAAGCTTGTTTCTCTTCTGTACTTCAGGGAGATCACTTGGGAGTGGAATTCGCTACAAGTGCTCATCGATCCAAGGAGGAAAGCATTTGCGTGAATCCCCCGTCCTATAAACCCTAATACCCTAAACCCTGAACCCTGATGCAGAAGCAGTCGTATTCGATCCTCAAAGTGCAGATCTCACATCCGGCTGTAGTCGACATGCAATGCCATGACATACTTTTGCATGGCCTTCTGTACGGTGGCTACAGGGTTCCTCGACCGGGTGCAGACACTCACCATTCGGCGAACGATTTGCATTAGGTCTTCTTGCCCACAGCAGGCACCGGCCCTTGGACTTAAGAAGTGACTTTCCAAAAGTCCGTGGCACAGCCAGTGAGTCTTCAAGGTCACATTGAAGGCCATGTCTCCCTGCAACAAAAACCGCTTCATGAGACGACCCATCAAGCCGAAGTACTCGAAACTAAGGACACAAAGCCGGAGGCAATCTTGGTAAAGGAGCACGGCCCGGCTGGGATCCTGATCTAGCAACTCGTCCATTTCCACTGCTCGCTGCAAGAGAAGCAGCACTTCAGCATCCTCTTGTGAGTGTGGAGACATGTAGTGCAACCTCCACACCTCGAGCCATGGCCTCAGGCAGTGTTTAATCTCGGCGGCCTTGGCCTTCATGGCAGGGAATGCCAAGAATGGCTGCTGCCAGTTGGCCACGAACATAGACCTCAATCAGTCTTGCAGAGGAAGAGAGCTTAAAAGAACTCGTGCAGTGCATGAAAATGCATCCAAGCTTTTCCGCTGCTAGGTCCCCGCTGCAGCTGGAGTTCCAGTGTTGGCTAGACGGACAGCCATGCGAAAGCAGAGCTCTAAGATAATTCAAAGGATGCAGAGATCCTCGCAGCCGCTCACTGCTGCTTCGACACCAGACCACGGCACATGGACATGCTCTCCTGGAGCTCCGAGACTGCCCCGGCGGCCTGCAGGGCACACAAAAAATGACATGGGACAGGAGTGGACTAATTCAGCCGGCCTCCCGAAGCAAGTTGCTGACGAGCAAGCTGCTTACGGGGTTCTTCTTGTGTGTCCCGAAGAAAAAAAACTTCGTGAAGCTCCGAGATCTTCCCCAAGACGGCTTGGAGGTTTGTTTGCAAGAGGCCCTTGCTGGTCACGGCTGTGGGCGTCGTGCTGGTGATGGCGAGAAAGATCTTCTCACCAGCCTGGCGATTCGTTTGGAGCAGTGCCAGGGACTGTTCCAGCTTGCTTCTGTCCTGATCGCTGAAAGAAAGAGTCGCCGGGGCACGGCTGCCTCCAGCTGGGTCGCTGGGCATGCACGAAGTCCTTGAACTTTGTGTGGACTTTTTGGTCCACGTCTGTAGAAACTCCGCAAGCAGTCTCACTGCTTGCCCCCTTCTCGTGGGTCACTTGGATCTGCCTGCAGAGCAGGAGAAAATAAAGCAGAGGACGAAAAGGAAAGAAAACACGATGGGCCTTGAAGACGTAGTAAGTGGTGCCCTCCTCCATGACCTGCCTCACTTCACCGGTCTGCAGGGCTTGGTCCAGCCCTTCCTGGCCACCACAGGCAACCCTGGCTCTGGTCAGGGTGTAGCCGAGGGCCTTGTCTTTGCCCTTGACGTTTTCGAACTTTTTGTGGGTTTCCTTCCACCAGTTGTTCTCCAAGCACAGCTCGAACCGCCCTCCGTTGCCTCGCTTCACCAGGCGTTTCACGGCCTCCGTCGTGTCCTGGCCTCGAGGTAGCTGAGCAGTTCCTCCAACACTTGGCCAGCCTTCTTCCTTTTCTGCAACCACCGGCTCTTGCAACGGTCGCGCGTGAGCAACAGTGGCCTCCGACTTCTCGGGCTTGGCCTTCTTGGGCTTGGCCCCTGCCTTGGTCTTGAGCTGGGCCTTGGGCTTTTCTTCCATCTCTGCAGCCTGCTCAGGTTCGTCCGTTGGGCCCTGGCTTGCAGGCAGCTCCTTGAGTCTTTGCCGGCTTGGCGCTTTGGCCTTAGCTTTGGCCTTAGCCTTGGCCTTGGCCTTAGCTTTGGCCTTGGCTTTGGCCTTGGCCTTGGCTTTGGCCTTAGCTTTGGCCTTGACCTTGGCCTTGGGGCTGTCCTTCTGCTGCCTCCTGCGTCGCAGCCGGCGTCTTCGGCAGGAAGCTCTTGAGGTACCTCGGAGTCGGCCGTGACCACCACGGCCAGTGCAGTTTGTGAGAAAAGGTGGTGCATTTCTGGTGCACTTTTGGTGCAAAAGCGCCAAAAGTGCACCATGGTTTTCGGAGACCGTTAACATGGTCTCTTCCGAGTTTCCGACCGTGAGGAGGTTTCTGCAGCAGGTTTGGGACTTGGCGCAGGCATGGGGAGGAGCCGCCAACACATCATTGGGCTCTTCCCTGGCAGGTCCTCGCAGCACTGCTCTCTGTATCAATCATGTGGGGGGTTGGATCAGGGTAGCAGGGACCATTGCCCTGGCATGAGCAAAGACGAAACACCTTGTGCTTCTGGCCGACACTGGAGACGACGGCCAGGTCGTCTATACGTCGGTCATGGAACCAAAAACTCGGTTCGGGGCTGCCAGACATCACTGCCCCTGGAGGTCGACCAGCCGCAAGTGCCTGGCCTTTGAACGCCTGGAACCAGATGAAAAGCTCTGGCTGATGTCGCCATCCACGCTGCGGCCACTTCCCATACCACGAAGACGAATTTCAGAAGCCGAGGAGACCTCTGCGGTCTGCAACTTCTTTCTCCAGCCATCCTGCCTTGGCAGTACCTGGTTCAGCTTGCTGACGTCGTTTCGAGCCCAGCGGCCAACATCATCCCACGAGTAGCCTTCTTCGGAGAGCCAGCCAATCCAGCTTGCCCCTCCTGTCTCGAGTGAGGGCCTGCACCGGGTGGGTGGCGTCAGAGGGGTTGGCTGGAAAAAGCAGTCTGGGGCCCTGAACCCACACTTAAGCACGGGTTTGGCACACTGGCTTTAGGCAGGCAAGAAGCGACGCCAGGGAACGGTGCGAGAGCAGTCTGCTGCATGTTGGCAAACCCAGCCAAGTCCAAGCCATCTTTCGACAGAGCAGCCTGGGGCAGGCTCGAGGGGACGACTGGCAAAAGGCAACGAGAGTTGCAGCCCAGACCCAGACACGGTTTCATCAAGTGCTCCTTCCGATCAGAGGCCTGCCAAAGGTGCTGGCTGGTGGTCTGGGGAATTTCTGCAAAGCAAGCGGCACCTTTCCCCAGAGGCATCAGTAGCAAAGAGGAGGGGGAGAGTCGGAGCAGCCAAGTCCGCAAACAAGGCCGGCGCGAGCGCTGACAAAAGAACGAACTTTTGCGCGACTTTCCTCGGCAGGGGCACGACCCTAGGCCTGGCAGGTCGGTGGTGAAGGATGAGCGAAAACGCCTTGTAGAGCACGCAAAAGCCGGGTCGTCGGAACGAGAGGACTGATGACCAGGCGGCGAGCGAACACAAGTGAAGAGAATCGGTCGTGCCCGCCAGGGCGGCGACGTCAAGCGTCAAGCAAGCTTTCTAGGATGCCGCAGCGGCTCCTGTATACAGGATGCCTGCGAGTGCATGCATGGGCTCCTAGAAGTAAGTGAGATAGCTTTTAGGATGCCTGCAGTGTGAGCTCCTCCACAGAAGTCAGCAGATGACAGGATGCCTGCAGTGGGCTCCTAAGGATGCCTGCAGTCTGGGCTCCTTATATGTCAGCAGATATACACCAGGTAACTAGGATGCCTGCAGTGGGCTCCTAAGGATGCCATGGGCTCCTTTGTGTCAGCAGATATATATATATATATATACCGGGTATAGGATGCTTTGAGTTTGGCTCCTCTTTGTTCCGAATGCCCGGGATGCCTGTCATGTCTGTGCACGCATGAGGAATTCTTTTTGATCCGCTTGCTTTGCTTTGAGCTCGAGCGATCTCTACAGCTAGAGCTATAGTCCCGGTGCGGCTGCAGCCATGATGCAGCTTCTCCTCTTTTTGCAGCTGCTCAGCAGCTGCCTGGCAGGGCCAGGAGATCAGCTGGAGCAAGCTCTTAAGCTGCTCCAGGAGCAGCAAGCGACACAAAGGCAGCAGCAGGAGATGCAGACGCAGCTGTTGCTGATACAGCTGCCAGCCCAGATGCAGATGCCACCCCAGATGCAGATCCCACCCCAGCTGCCACAGCCTCAGTTCCCTCCTATCCCCTTTCTCACTGCAGGCCAGAACAGGCCAAAGGGCAGGCTTGGAATCTGTTCCGAGCCTGTGACTGCACCGCCTCTGGCACCGCCCATGGAGATCGAGACGCTGCAGGAAACGCCGTGGTTTCACTGCCCGAAACCGCCCAGCAAGGAAGCTCGGACTTAAATCGTGTCTTGGCTTGCACAGCTCCGGACCTCCACATCTTCAAAGACTCTTTCGCCAACAGGTTTTTTCTGTACCGCAGGCCCCCTTAAGTCAGCGATTGAGCCTTGCTCTGGCTGAATCTGCGTGGGCTCCTTACAATCACCGGGACACAGGCTTAAGCTTTAACAATGTGTTGATGTATGTGTGTATGTATGTAAACATGCATAGATACACAGCTATGGCAAGAAGCCACACCTTCCTCTGGCTACAGGACATTCTGAGGGTTTATAGATGGTTGTTTCAGTTGCATTTTCCATTATTGTTCCTGATTTTCATATTGATTTTGATGTTTCCTATTGTGTGTGTTTTTGTTGAATTCTCATATTGATTTCATGAG